TTTGATACTGGATCTGTTTCGCCTCCTGCTAAAAGAAAAATTAAAAAAAAAGTTCATGTAAGATCACAATTACGAAATTTTCGCCTCAAAATTAGCTGGGGAAATGGGATCGCCCTGCCAATAACATATAAACTGGAGTACGGCAAAAATGTTAAGGTTTTCGGGCAGCCTAAAAAATTTCGTTTTTATGCGTTTTATGCTGTGTAACAGCAGTACAAAATGCATACTGTCACGGGGCTGTATATGGTGTGTCTGTGTGTGTGCGTGTGTGTGCAGCAACTTACCCGCAACTTTCAACACGAGAACCACAAAAGCTGGGCAGCTTAAAATTTAGGGCAATGTTCCCCACCCACGTGTGACCCCGCAAATTTAAATTCAGCCTCCTCGTAGCCACGGGTAACACGTACGGCCCTATAAAAGTCTTGGTAGGTTTTGCGACTGTTCTTATCCCCCCGTGCTCTATACCGTCAATTCGCTGTCACTGTTACCCCACTGTAAACTGCCAAAAACAAAAATATTCCCATAGGCTCAATTTGAATGTCTGAGAAACCCCGTTGTCGGAAAACCGGAGAAACATTTTCTGATTCTCTTGAAAATGAAAATTGGCGATCGGTCACCAACTCACCATGCATGAACTTTCGCAAAATCTCCTCTCCACCCAAGAAACGATCAAATGGCGATTCAATTTCCAGAACACCATAACTTAAACGGCCAGCAATAGCACGAGCAAAATCAATCGCACTATACCTAAAAAAACAATCCATCCTTAATTCGAAAAATCCGGACAAAATGCAGCTACCGACAACAAAAACTGAAGAAATACAACTTAGAATGGCCTACCACAACTGCACTTAGAATGTGAAAGAAGCAAGGATGGTAAGGGTGCACCTAAAAATCGGTGAAAATTCAGGGGGCTGTCATACAACAGATCAAATAATAATTGACGGTTTTTGTTAAAAATAGGTTAAAGAACAACTGCGTTACTGTGACGCAATACCCCTGTCCCTATTTCAAACTTAGGCCATCCTACCCTCGTTAAACTTTCGTTATCTTAGTAATCTCTGACCACTGGGGTATAAAAGCACTCCTCCGCATTGGCGTGGGTGCGGTAACTCTTCAAAGACTTTTAACCTGTCTTGCTTTTATTCCTGCTCTGGAGAGTTTCGGCTCCCCAAAGCCTCACCATCTTGTTTTGTATTACTTTTTTAGTATTCTGCGTATTAATAAATATGTATATAGGATGAGGCGTCGTACACTCATACACATTCTTACAAACAGGGCGTAAGACTAGTCTAAAAATATTAACGGTTAGGGTCGCGATAAGGCAAGGGGAGGGGG